TAGGCAAATTCTTGTGCGCGCAAGTACTTCAGTAATGCGATCATGTCACTTGACAGGCATGATTATTCTGTGCTTCCTAGCAGCAATTTGTGGCTGGACGCTGGCCGCTTCCTCCAAGACGTCCCCAATGCCTCCTCACGTCGTGTACCTGACAAACGCTTACAAGGCCCGGCTGATCCCGGCCGAGTAGAAGAGTTCTTGCAAGGTTCAAGGTGGGGTGGTATTTCTTACTTATAGAGGTCTGAGACAAGGTGCAGGCTCGATGGCAATCACAGTATTCATACCAGGTTGGCCTTCATCATCCTGTCAGGAAGAGTTCGCCGCTTGGGAAGTGGAGCGCCTGGTGCGAAAGCTCCTCAGCCATCAACTAGACGCCCCAACTCCTCTCTGCACATAAAGATCCCTCCGCAACTCTGCCTTTCAAGAGGTTTCCTGAGAACCTGGACACAGCTCTGCGGATGAAACGGGCCAAGGATGCTGCTGACCTTGGTTGGCGCCATGCTGCCCATCACTTTGTCACCAGCTCTTCAGCTGGCATGCCTCAGGCCGAGTGTCCCATTGTGAGGAGGATCATTGGTCTAGTAGGGCCTCAATACAGGTAGAAGTCCCATTGCTGCAGGCATGGAGGCATTTGTAGCTGTGTGTTTGGCTGTTGCTGTGCTTTACTTGCGCACCGTTGCAATGTTCAGTGTGATCCTCGTCTTGTCCTTGGTGGCATACTTGCGGCTGCTCCCCTACAAAGAGAACGCCTGAATCTCAGAGAGTTCAGGAAGCTTGCAAGTCAGAAAGGCAGCGCTGTTTTGTCCATGAAGCGTCTGTGGCACAAGGTCTTCAATTTGACCGAAGCAGCATTACTCTCTGACGCGCTAATCATCACTGCGCTGAGCAACTCCTTGCTGGCAAGTGCTACTCGGGCAAAAGAATTCTGTTCGGCGAAATATGTTTCGTGAGCTGTGCGGCCGCCAAGGACTCGAACTGGGCAAAGTCAGAAGCGCGGCTGTTTCAGTCATGTCAAGGCCATCACACTTGCCCATGCCCCATGAACACAAAGGAAGCCACGAACCGGCTCTTGCTTTTGGTCACCGCGTCGCTGGCAGTGGCTGGCGGTGGAGGCAGGACATGGCAGGACGCTGCTACCGGGTCTTTACATGTGGAGCCTCTGGTCCAAGGCACTCTCATCCTTCTTGCCCATGCATATCTCCGGGAGTTCTCCGCAAAGTCTGCAGAAGACTCTGACTAGTGGTACGCGAACAAAATGGCATGCGCATCAAAAAGAACAGCGCTTTTTGCAGTCATGGCTGCATGTTGCAGTATATCTGGCTGTGGCTATTTTAAGCGCCAGCTATTGCCTGATGGCCTGCAGCATATACTCCGGCTCAAGCTTGATCAGCCAGCACGAAGCTTGTTCCTCGATGCATAGGCGAAAGCAGGCATCATCTGATTCCGGAGTGTGACTTGCACGCTCCACATCATAGTTTCCAGCGTACCTTGCTTCAGATTCCTTATATCTTTTGTTGCAAGCTTTGAAGCAAGCTGTGGTCCTACCCAGCAATTAAAAGAAATTCTTTCGCCAATCATTTTTCAGCTAGAAGTTGAGCACCTTTGCGCAAAGTTCGCAGAAAGCTTGCTTCATGGAGCGCTTCTTGTCAACCAATCATGGACCGCCAAAAACTCGGAGGAAGGTCCAGCGACCGATTGCGGCCTGGCGAACAGGACCCAGGTGGAGGGATGAGCGGGGCGGCTTGGAGAAGGTCAGTCACGAGTCTGTGCTGAAGGGCCTGGCTTCAAGAACTGCTGTGCTTGCAGACCGGCCACTAGGCATGCCAAGCGATTGTGAGGAGGCAGTTTGGGTGGAGTATTTCCGCGGAGTGAAGACCACTTGGCGGATTTGCTTTACAGTCAGACATTTTACATTGCTGCAGCATCTGCAGGCCCAGTCTGATTGGCTGGAATTCCGGCAGGCGCTGGTTACGTCCACTCGGATAGGGCTTGAAAGATCTTTGGTGCTGGGAGAAGGGGCTTTCAGAGCTCTTGTTTCAAAGGTTATCGTAGAGGCTGTGAGGCTGCTGAGGAATGGAGATGACTTCGAAACCTTTGTTGCCAATCTTTCCTTGGAGTCTGGCGGGGAGCCCAGTGTTGCCGAAGAGGAGGTGCGGAAGGCCATGACTAGCCGCGGCCTGAAAGCCGATTTTGCAAAGGAAGTTGCTGGCTTCCTGGGCCAGCTGCAAGAAGGAGCAACCATCGCTGCATCAGAGGTGGCAGTGGCCCAAGAGCTGCCGAAAGAGATTGAGCTTCGGGGCGGTTTGCGCGAGCAGCTCTTCGTGGCAGCTGTGCCGGACTGCAGCCGGGCGGCCAACCACGGTCTCTGCGAAGGCTTCGAACTGGTAGCCGTGGTCTCTGGCAATTGCGGCAAGACCATGCAGGAGGGCCCGGCTTTGCAGGCCCTCCGCAGCGACCAGGTCTTGTCCAAGCTCGGGAAGGGGCCTGTTCGACTTTGCTTCCGTAGCCCCTTCGCAAAGCTTCCGCGCTTCTCCTCCAAGCAGCTGGCCGACCGCCTCGGCTCCTCCTCTGCAAACATATATAGGCACTTACTACAGGAGGTTGCTCAACTATAGTCTGTGTGTTGTGTGTTGGGATACATGATGACATGGTGCGCGCCAAGGCTTTGGCAAGATCCGAGAGCTCCTGGGCGGCAAAGGCGGCAAAGGCGGAAAGGCAGTCCCACGCGTGATTCCTCACAGAGCCTCGTGCTGCGCTTCAGGTTGCACTTCCGTCGCCTGGTGCAAAACCTGCAGTTTGACTGGCAGCACTTGCACGTAGAGAAGCGACACGAGCTCCGTCGCTTGCAGGCGGCCTGTGATGCGGATCATGAGGGATGTCCTGTGCTAAGGGATTGTCTGCAATGGGGTAGCAGAGAGCTGCTGCGCGATTCCATGGTGCGGCTTAACAGTCGGGGCGACCGGCTGCTGCTATCGGAGATCAGTGAGCTGCCTATACCCGAGAGGTTGGAGGCGGGAGGCCTTGGAGAGCCTAGAAAGATCCTGTAACCCATAGTGGCTTCAGGTCAGCTTCTATTTCATTTGCAATTTGATTTTCCATTCCTGGGGTAGATCAGGGCAATATCTCATTCTTGCAGAAGGCTTTTCCTGTGTAAACTGCCAAAGGTGGGCCGGCCCCGGGACGTGCGTAAGCTTCGGATGAAAGACCTGCGGGAAGCTCTGCACCAAGCAGGTATCCACTGGCTTCGGGAGCCTGAGGAGGGCTGAGTTGTTACCTTCAGCAATGCCGGGCAGGGTAGGACCCTTCTTTGTCTCCCTGAAGGAGAAGATGCTGATGGAAACTCTGCACCAGGACATTGAAAGCTGGGAAGAAGAGCTGGCAGACTTCTTTGTGATCGACTCTGCTGGCCACTTTGCAAAGATTGGCTCCGGCACATTGAGAACGCAGCATGTCTTCCATGTCACGCGAAAGTGTCTGGGTCAATGTCAAGCGTGGTTTTGCTTTGTTGTAGTCACTGACTGCTGATCAGCCGCGGAAGGTCGTCTTTGTAATGCATAGAGGACCGTGAAACTTAGAACATTACCTTCCTATTCATACTAATGCACTGAAGGCCCCCATTGCCAATTGCATACCTCCCATCCCAGCTGCCCAGCGTAGGCTGCGGGAGAAGCTGAAGTCTAAGTCAGAGGCCAAGGGCGGCCTGCTGCGAGCCTCGATCACGAGGTCAGAGTTTGCCAGCATTCTGTGCCTCGAAAGCCAGGTTCGTACTTTAAGCTACTTTTTCGGTGTTTTTCCTTAGTCCTGCCAATAGTACCACCACCCGAAACCCATGGGCTGGATGGGGCAAGGTAACGGGGCAAGTAAGGAATGCCGCTGGCATTGCCTGGCTCACCCAGGAGCAAACCGAGACAATCTTCTCGCTGATAGGGGGCGCAGACGAGGAGGCAAGAGCACAGTCATGTTTCGGAGTTCCAGCTAGGCAGAAGCAGACCCTGTAGGCTGGGATCAGTCTCAGCGATTGGGTATCCCGCTTCTCCTGGGATCCCATGCAAGCAGCGACAGAGGTCCAGCGGGTCCTGGACGTCTGGGCTCGACGCATAGCCGACCGGTCCGTGCCGTACTTGAAGCTGTGGAGCGCGCGCACCGGTCGTGCCACGGCACACCCTCCTCCGCGGCCACGAAGTCTGCGCTTTTGGGATTTCCATGGTGTCTTGACTGGAATGGGGGTGAACTGGCTGAGCCTGAAACAGCAGCGCTTGCTGTTTCAGTCTCTTGACTCGAATCGCGATGGGCGCGTTGACGTGGATGAGCTGCAGAACTGCTCCGAGAAGAGAGTAGAAATTGAGCTGCGGCGGGAAGAGCTGATGATTGCCGAACAGGAGGACGCCCCAGAAGAGGCCGAGAAGTCAGAGTCTGAGGAGACAAATTCCGATCCCATTCTCCAAAGTGGCGCGCCGGAGACCAGGGATGGTCTTGAAGCGCCCGACATTTACGAAGAAAGCGACGGGGAGGATCCTCCAAAGTCTGATGCCAGTCCCGTCAGTCCAGGTTACTCGGCGTCGTTTTGCCAGGAAGCTCCTTCGGAGAGAGAGGAGCCGGAAGAATTCGACGATCCCGCACCAGCGGAAGGCGTGGACAGCGCTGCAAGGTCAGAGCAGGGTGAGCCAATGTCCCCACAAGCTCTGCAGTTAGACCCAGCCAGCGAGGAAGGCCATCCTGCAGAAGGCTCTCCAGCTTCTGAGGCCAACAGCGACTCCCAAAGCGAGAGTCGTCAAGGCCCTGACAGCTACGAGAGTGCCCAGAGCCCGGGCAACCAGGATTCGGCTGACGAAAGCGAGCCCTAAAAGAAACGAGTTGCTTCTGCAATGCTGTGTGGATCTATGCTGCTTGTTCGACATCGGCGCTGTCATTTTCAGCAGTTTTGGAATGGACCCATTCAGAACATAAAGCAGCATGAATGCAAGATGGCCACCCACTGAGCCTGCAAGCCCCATGCGCAGGCTTCCGGAAGCTGACGTGGATGAAGTCACCTAAGGACTGGATGCTTGCAAGCTTTGTGAAGTTTCTATGCAAGTAGTGCTCATGGACATGCCTCGAATAGCTGGCATATATATATATATGTATAAGGACATGGTTCTTGGCCAGAAGTTCCGAGATGACCACGACGTGTAGCTGAGCAGCTGAGTTCAACTGCAGCAGCTGCTGAGCGCCAAGAGTGCGGGCTATGCGAATCTGGACAAAGCCTCCATGACCTGGCACAAAGCAATCCTTGCGGACTCAGGCAAGACTCCACAGACGCTGCAAACAGGCTGCCTTGACTTGAGCGTCGATGCAACGTTTCAATCTGCCAACGAAGTCTGATCCTTCGTGCTGGCCAAAATTCATCTGCCAAGAAAGAGCGTCGAAAATGGCACTGCGCCCTGCCTGTCGATGTTCCTTTGCTGTGGGGCTGGTGCCTGGTGCCATGCCAGAATGCCACCACCATCGTCCAAGAGCTTGGGCGCACGGCAAGTCAAGCGCTCAGGATCTTTCTCACCCGCACTGCCACAGTAAACCCGCTTGACCGAGTTGGGGACCGCGATCCAACAGTGAGGGCCGCTGCTTGCGAAGCGCGAGGGCCGCAGACAGGGAATAGTCAAAGGGTGAGCAACTTGCACATGACTGTGATGGCTATCAGGCTGGGGAGCGTGCTGGTCAGTGGCTCGGATGCTGCCTGCTTCCTTTCACATGCGCAAGAACTCCGAGGCAGGAGCTCCTGACCTACCTGCACCCCCCAAGCCAGAGGACACGGAGGTCCGATGGCTGTGGGGTCCATGTTTTGAAGCGTGATTCACGCGCTCGGAAGGAGGACGTGGAGGTTGAGTCCAAGACAGGAGAGGACGAGGTACCTCTTCCTCACTCCATGACAAAAAAAAGCATGAGACCAGGGAATGTAGCGTTCTGACAAGTGTTTTCTGTGGCTTGCCTTTAGCTTTCTGCTGGGCTTGTAGGTCTTTCCGTGCGTTGCATTTGGTTGTGTTGCGGTGGGAAGGGATGCGGCCAACGCATGCACATGCGACAAGCACTGATGTGCCTCTGCAGGGTGTCATGGTTGATATTGTAGTTAGTAGTTATTGCAGCTTTCATGTTTGTTGCAGGTTGCCGGCTGCGCAGCACCCGGCAACATGATTTTTTTGAGGGGGACTTGGCCAAGCCAAAAACAGATGCAAACATGAATTTATCCCGGGGACAGCTGGCTGTGCATCATTCTGCGGGCCGACAATCTGAATCTTGATGGCCATGCCTGTGCCGAATTATGTGTGGCGCTGTGCTGCCAAGACGCGGTTCCCGTGTGTGTTGTGAGCCATGTCGCGGAATTTTGGTCTCTGGGCGTGGATCTCTCTCTGCCACTGAAGACCCTGTCTGCAGTGCCTGCAGTGCGCAGTCATTGCAATTACACAACATGTTGGTCAGCACGCCTGGGATCTAGTGTTACAACATGGGCTTGCTGAAGAAGGTCTGTGTTATAACATGCTACGGCGTCTGTCTCTTGCAATTTCTACAACGACGGCCACGTGAGATGCTGCGGCCTACCGCGCAAGCGGCAAAAGGAGGAGGTGCAAGCGGCCCAACCCAAAGCCGGAATAGCACATCCGCCCGGCAGAGAACATGTCATCAGCCAACTCTCAACCCCGGCTCCAACCCCCACCTCTGGATGTTAAGTGGTTCCTCGGGAGGTCATACTCAGTCTGGATTAGCTAGCCACATGGTCGCAAATCCGCGAAGTTTTAGAATCTTCTAGGTTTTGATAGACAGGGTATCGGCTTTTATTGGTTTAAACATCTCGGCCGTTCCTTTTTTCGTCGGCTTTCCCTTGAAACGCAAGCTCTCTTTACAAATCCTCTTCGAACTGCTTTTGCCGGGGTTCTAAGTTCAGTAGCAAACATGCACGGGCGCTTTCATGTGCAGCCGGTGGAACGAGTGCTCCTGTGTGCTGCCACCACTGAAGCTGTTTTGTTAATTACGCTGGCTTTCATCTCGGCTGGTTCATCCTCATGCTCTTGGGTCTCGTAGAGCCTCATTTGAATCACTTGCGGCACTACATAATGGCCACCTGTGGTCACGTGCGCTGTGGTTAGGAAGCGGAGGCGGACGAACCTGCTTGAATCTCAGTCTAGCTCTGTGTTAGCTTTCAGGCGCACGGCATGCGGGACAATACGAAGAGTGGCAGCCGTGTAGAAGTAGAAGGGGGTTCCTGTTAAAAGTCCTTCCCAGGCGGCGGACGCAGAGGGGGAAGATGTGGAGCCCGCCACTGAGCGAACACAGGCTTCCACCATGCCTTCTGAAGTACAATTATGCTACAGCATCCCTTGGTGCTCACCAAAAGTCTTAGAAGGCTGTTGTTCTTGAAGCATATATTGAATAGCAGCATGGTTGCTGCAGCAAGATCTTGCGTTGCATCGCTGAGGGACAAACCAGTAGGTCGTGCGCGTACAGACACGGACGAGGCCCAATCATCGCCTGGTGGCTGAAGTTGTGGATTTCATTGTTTCCGCTCCATTGGAAGATATTGGATTTTGGAATTGGATGCTGCCGTTTCCTCTGAAGCACCTGCTGCTAGACTTGATTTGTTTTTCCTTGAGTGGCTTTCCCTCAGTGCAGTTATGCTCGGCGGTGCCTGCAGCAGGAGCTACGGCCTTTGCCCGTGTCTGTGCGCTACATAGCCCGCCTGCTGCAGAGTGATGAGTATGCAGCAGCCTGAGAGCAGCAGCGCAAGTGCCAGCCGGGACTGGAGGGTACACTGCTCATATTAATGAAGAGGTGCCAGTCGTCGAATTGTGGGGGAACAATTAAGGGTGCTTTCAGTAATCGTGTTAGAGGTAGCTTGGCAAGCCGTGAGGCAAGACAGGGTGTTCTCCATCGTTGATGTTGCGTAGCGCGGGCTTCTAGGATCCATTTGCCGTATAACTTGTGTTTAGACCTGCATACTTACGATGGTCATCCTTAACTACCAGAATCCCTTGCCTCAAGGCATTCCTAAAAAATGTTGTGACAATTGCACGGGGGGGACTACACTGCAACATTCGCAGCTTTGGGACACATGACCAAGGATAGAGTCCACCATGCTTGCATCGGTCCTGAGCCCTTCCTAACATGCACTACATTTCCGCATAGTTCGTAAACATATATACCAGCAAAGGGCATCCATTACTCGTAGTGCTTTCCAGTCTTGCCAAGAATTGTCAGCGGAGTCAGCTGCTTTGGGCAATGAACTATGGCGGCCTTTGGCCGCAAATCCAAAGCTGCCAAGCCGGGCGCGGTCTCAACGCGTGAGGATAAGAAGGCCCAGCGCCTGCGCTTCGCAAAATGTTAAGTTGAGTTCTATGTAACATGTTCATGGATTCATGGGGCTTGTATTGCATCCAGATGATTGCAAAGGTGCCGCCCAGAAGCTAGGTACAAATTATCTTGTCAAGATGGAGTCACCAGTACTGATTATTGTGCGTTCCCATACAAGCGCAGCAGCAAGAAGGCTCTGAGCTCTAAACTCAACACTAGGTCCTTACAAAGCCGGAAGAGGTTGCCCTGGGATCCTTGCCGCCTGCTTTGGAATGGGCTCACAATTAATTGTGTGTCCGACAAATAAGTCAGACAAGGCCCTGCAATCAGAAGATGAAAAAAGCCTATGGCAGGACCGGGTCTCCCTGAAGGAGCTCTTGGCGGAAGAGGCAGAGCGTGAGCGTTTTGCTGAGGAGCGCTGCAGCCGCAAGCTTGATGGGTGTAGGGTTCAGGGTATTTCAGGGTTCTGGGTTCCTTTGCTGCTGGTGTTAATAGGGGATAGGTGGGGTTGTAGGTGTTGCGAATTTCTGCAGAAGGGTTTCTGCAAAGCAAATGCGTTTCCCGTCCGGGCACCACTGCTGTGTAGGGCACCTAACAGCTGTGACCAAGGTTTGATCAGAAAGAGAAGGCGGCGGCCAAAGAGCAAAAGCAGCAAAGTGAGGACATGCCATCGCGCGCGCATGTTTTTGAGAAGAGCACGGCGTCAAAATTGTTCCTGGTCCTACATGCGCTAACATCAGCAATGGCACAAACGGGCACGACTCAGCTTGATCCCCAGCATCCGGCAGCAACAGTACTGCGACCTCCACGATGACGACTACTAATTGCTCCGCACATGTCTCCGACCGATGCTGCTGCTGCCGCGGTCCCGTGATCTCATCCTGTTGTTGCTTCTGTCTTCTGAGTCTTCTGTGTCTGCAGTAGACAGGATCAAGATCGGCAAAAGGAGGAGCAGCGGAAGGCCGCAGAAGCAAGAAAGGGCCAGCCCAATCCAGTGGTCTTCCTCGAAATTGAGGCCTGTCTCGGGCTTGTGCCCTCCGGCACATGGTAAACGTGATTCGGTTCTATGTCAGGTCAGGAGCCCTGCCGGCTATGGAGAGCGCCAGGGCCGGGTTGAGGCCTCTGGTCGCCTGGAAATCGAAGCTGGGACGGCTTCAGAGCGTGGCGTAGGTGGGGTGAGGAGATTGCATCCTTCTTTAATATTTCTAAAGCCGAGGAACTCTTTGCTGACATAGCGCCACGAACAGTCCAACGCTCAGCCAGGATGCACATCCATAAATCAGCTGCAGACAGGTTGAAAGCTTGCTGCTGCAACTTCTCGCCAAGGCAGAAAATTTCCGGTGCTTGTGTACGGGCGAGAAAGGTGGAGCTCATCGACATAAGCAGATGATTCCGTTCCAGATCCCTGTTTACCACATTCATTTGCGATGCGCCGAATCCCTTGACTAGAAAGGCAAGCCTAGCGTTTAGTTTCCGAAAGGTTTGCTTATGGCGCCGCCAGCGCCATTTGTTGCACTTGCTTCGCAGGATGATGTGACAGGAAACTTGGGCTAAGTCTTGAAAGCTTTTCCTTCACTTTGCCTGCAGGCCGCGATCTATGTTTCAAGGGCTCCCCGTTCCACAGGATCATCCCAGGCTTCATGGCGCAGGGAGGAGATATCACAGATGGTGATGGTACAGGACCCTGCAGCCTCGCAGAGATTCTTAAGAGTTGAGGCTGAAAGACCTTCTCTGCCTTGTGTCTTTTGCCTTCGTTTAGGAGGGAGGTCCATCTACGGCCCGAAGTTTGCGGACGAGTCCTTCACGCGCCTGCATGCCAGGGCGAACCTCCTCTCCATGGCCAACTCAGGGCCGAACACCAACAACTCCCAGTTCTTCATCCTCTTTGGGCAGGTGAACAATGCGGAAAATTTGGATTCGGGAGGATGCTATGAGAGTAGCCGCGCAAACTGCAAAACATTCATATACTATCTGCCAGGCCAGGCATTTGGACCGGAAGCACGTGGTCTTTGGCGAGATCCTGCGCGAGGATGGGCAGGCTGGTGACTTTGTTCTGTCCTGGTGTAAAAGAATTTGCTAGGAGCGGCGGTGCAGGTGGCAGTGACAATGTAGGCAGTGCAGTTTGGTAAGAAGAATGCTGCGGGCATAGCTAAGTTGTCTTCCAACTGTGGACTGTGGCTTGAGGTGCGCATGAAAATGTGATGCGCTCTTCAGGTCATGAAGAAACTTCAAGAATGCGGCTCGCAATCTGGCGAAGTGAAAGGCGCCAACTTGGGGACAGCCTGGTAGCGCCAGCCGTGTCTCCAGACTCCGCCAGGATCTGTCATCATCAAGTCCTGCGGAGAGTTACGTGGCAACTCTGACTGGTTTGGAAGTAATACTGCCCCGGCTCTAGTGCCAGTTCTGCAGTGTGGAGGATGCGCCTGCTGTGATGTGAAGTTGTCCCTTCAGAGTAGATCAGAAGGGTTCAGCGCTGGAACTGTAAGTTGCCTCCAGCCTCTGGAATTGCTTTATTTCAGGTTCAGCTCTGAAATTTCAGAACTCTCTTGAGTTTGTATACAAGGGACTGGAAGACGTCCATTACCATAGAGCATTCGTGCGCATACCTCTAAGTAGGGGTTGCTACTCGTCCAGCAGGCCTCACCACATCCCCTGCCTACTGCTGCTACTCCTTCTTCTAGTACTAAGACCATTTCAAATTAGCACTGTCACAGCTTTTGCTCTGACCCCCCAAAGTGTTGTGTTCCGGTACGCTTCTGGAAAGGGTGAGCTGTAATCGTTTGGGTGGAGCGCACTCCAGTGTAGACGCGACCTTGGTTCTGATCTCTGTTCTCAAGCTATGTGACCGAGGGGCCGAGACGTCCACACCATCCCCAACCCTCCCCGAAACCTTGAACCCTAAACTCCTTGACCGTGCCGTTGCCAGAACCCTTAAGCCCTAAACTCAGCCCAGGAAAGGCGGATGAGCAGAAGTCCTTTGAACGTTTCCGGCGCTCCCGAAGTCGCACTCGCTCGACGAGCCGCCGGCGGAAGCAGCGGAAGTGTTACATTTGATAGTTGTCATAAGCTAAATCATGCAGAATACAAGGAGATGCATAGCAACAGTCTCTTTCAATCCCTGTAGTATTCACCTGTCAAAGCTCCTGCAGCTTCTCTTGCGACGTAAAGCCCTGCCACCTCTGCACCGTAAAAAGACCGGGAAGCAGGTCAGTTGGGATTCTTGCAACAGCCCTGATGAAGAGGTGTAGTACTTGTAGGAAGGATTTGGCACACACATGCATGGTAGAATGGTTCAGATTCGAGTTTACCAAAATGTCCAAGTAACTTATTCGTATTACAGTGTTGCAAAGTATTGCTGATGGATGTTGAGGACGAGTCCGTGCCCGAATGATAAGTAGTCGACCAACAAAGATGTTAGACGCTTCCTGCAAGCTTTTGCAGTGCTGCCCACAAGCCCAGCTTATCTTCTACAGAGACTCTGGAGAAGTTGTCTCTTTCAAGAGAAGTCTTGTATGACTGCAAACCATCGTATGCCCCACAGTACATGCTGTATTGTAAGACTGCCCTGTCGTTATTCCTGTTGATTCCCGCTCCGCAGCTCCTAGCAAATGTACGGCATCCAAAACGCAAAATGGGATCCTGCACCCATCTGCATCAAAACTGACTAAAGTCCCTGTAAGCACGTCGGCCCAAAACGCCCACAATTTTTAAGAACCCCCCCTGCCTTTGTGAGCCATAAGTCCAGGCCTCTGTGCGACGCTCTGCGGCTGCAGCTCTGGGGTCGATAGGTCGCATCCTTAGACACTGTTGGTCATCACAGCATCACGTCCGTAGGGGGATTGCGGTGGAGCTCAGGGAAGGACATTATGGGGACTCCCTAGGTGGTTAGCAGCATAACTGCTTCCCAGCTGCCTCTTAATTTTCCAAATCCCCAATGATCTTTTCCATGTTGAAGTCCCCTCGTGCGGGCCCTTCAGTCTTGGAAACTGTTTGCAGCCATGATGTAGGTGTCACTGCTTGCAACAACTGGCTATTGGCGATTCTGGGGTTGTCAGCCTCTAATGTGACAGCAGTAGCATAACACGCCTTGATTCCTTGTATCATTAGACTAGAACGAAGAGGATGCATTTAACAGTCATAACCTTTAGTTTGCATGTGACAGGTTTTGTAGCAGGGATCTTGAGGGGGTCCGCGTTCCGCGTGGTAGTGGCAGTAATTAGTCATAGTGTCATAGCGAGATGGAAAGGCCATCGCAACAGCCGTCACAAGTAGAAACACACGACAAACAGTAGATGTCCCTGACTGACGGAAGCAATGCTTTTCAGCCCGGTGTCAACATGACAGCGAGTAGACAGAAGGGCGCGTGCCCACCGTGCTTGCTTGATTTAAGCACTGGATTGAAAGGTCTTATAGGCAACAAGCAGCACCGAAAACAAATGACCAGCCCAACAAGCAAAGCTAACAATAAATTGCGGTCAGGCAGTGATACACGCATTATCAGTTGGGACACCGTTGTATTAGACCCATCAGCTACCAGTCCCTCCTAGTCCCCCGCTCCGCCTGAAGCATGCTGTTGCCATCCTGCACGCCCTGCACAATGGCGTTGGGGGCGTTGCCAGCCCTGCGCGCACCAATTCGCGGATCCGGCCTGGGTGCTACGAGCCTGAGAGGCCCAGCCAAGGCTGGCCAGGCCATGACATGGGGATCACTGTTGTTTGCTAAAGAAATGCGCTGGAGTCACGAGAGTGTGCTTGTGTTACATATTTGCGTAACATATTGCATGCACCTATGTTTTGACCGTTTACATGTCTTTGCGCCTTTGACTTGTCACCTCACGTCAATGGAGGTCATGTGTAGTATGTTGTAGGCTGCTCTGCTTGTCAACAAGCACTACTGGTTCGGTCGAAGTTTCATTCGCATTGTAGTATCGTCAACTTGGCAGGACTTAGCATCATTATGTTGGTCGCTCTTCTTCCTTTTTTTTGAAGGGCCTCGGAGTGGAAATGGCAAGCGGGATCATGTTCTGATAAGTTTTTTTTCCGGGTTGATTCTCCTAGAGGATGGCTGTCTAGGAGGGTAATTCGGAGTCTGCTGCCTGAGAGGCACAACTGAGCATAAACCACTTAGCGCCGCCTGCAGCACTGCTGCTGGCCCTGTGGCCGGGGAAGCGAGGACTGCGAGGCCATCGAGGCACGAACGTGGCGAACCAAAGCGGGGAATTCCGGTAAGGGTAGAGCTGGCGAGAATTGCAGCACCCCGGATCGGATGCAATCGCTCAACTCTGTAAGACTCTCTGTACCAAAGCACGCCATGTTAGCAAAGAAGTGGTATGCTGGAGATTACTAATGGCCCATCATTTTATCACAGTTTACGAGGGACTTGATAGCAGAAGAGCCTGAGAGTCCACGATCTGATGCCTTATTCTTGTGAAGTCTAGCCAGGGCATGGAAGTTTGCACCCTAGGCTGGGCTGGCTTGAGTTGCCAAGTCTTTGCGTGAGCCTGTGTGCCATGTTAGAATCTTGCTGATCGAGCGGAAATGCCGTGACAGAGCTAACAGGTTTAGCTATCCTGGATCGAGCTCGTCTTCGATTTTCTTCTAGTGGCGTTCTAGCTGCGTTCACATTCACTTTTTGGGTCAAAACCGTCTTGTCTTTCGACCCAAGGTCTCGTGCCTCATGTTCTAGAGGCCTTCAAACCTAAACTTGACAAAGTCGGAAGAAAAAGCAGACACTGTGTGGCACGCTGTGCCTTGTTTCGGGCGCAAGCAAGGCCTGCAGGCCACGCGCTGTACGGCTACTGCTGCTGCTGGGGATGCGCGCAGTGATCGCGCGGCAAGGAGCTTGCAGGCCCTGAGAGAAGCTTTTCCCGCTGCTTGCGTGCAAGACTTACAAAAATTTTGAGGCTAGATGTCATTGCTCATCATCTTGGAGTATGCGGCATGATCAGGATGAAATGGGTTGGTGGCTGTGCCGATGCACGTGCTGGTGCCTGTGGTGATGGTTCTGCTGCTGGTGCTGGTGCTGCTGGCGTTGTTGCTTTTTTTCTTACTCTCTTGGAGGCTGTTTTTCGTGCTACACCTGCCGCTGACACGGCTACTGCGACGGTTCCCAATACAGACGCTGCACGCCCCACCATGACCTTTGCTGAGATCTCTTAAAAGCTCCTCGCACTGTTGTTTCAGAAGCCGAGGATGCCAGGGAGTCAGAGCTGCAACGTTTCGCGAAAGCCCGATGGCGTGATCCACGCGCTGCCATGGTCTCCCGAGAAATTGGGGTGTTTTCTGGCAGGGAGTCTACCTGGATAACGTAGAGATGGCAACGCTGCCTCGGACACAGCCCCAATTGATTTGACGTAGCAGAAGAAAATCATTCAGAGTTCAGAGGCTGCGGACCTTACGCTTGCCAACTCTGAGTGACTCATTGCCAGCCTTGGGGAGCATTACATGATGACCTGTAGTTCCGCGTGCACATAGGCTATGTTTGTGTTAGTCAGAGCCTCAATAGTCAGGGCTCCTGTGACAACTGAAAGTGCAACCGTAACCCCCATCTAATCACAGTTTCCATGGTCCATGCTCTTTTCTTTCTGATTCTGCATTACTGGGGCGATACACCGTCAAACCCCTACATAACCACTACATATAACCCAAAGGCAATGCTCACGGAACACCGGCGCTGGCGCCAGGCTGAAACTGGGGCCTCGTTGGAAATGGCAACTAAGGGTTCCGAATGCTTTAGATTTCAGGCAAGATGCTGCGTCTAAATAGTCGAGGAATCTGCTTCCACTGTCGCCTTAGGAATGCGTAGGGTTCCCAGCCGGATTCCTAAACGAAAGAACTTGTTTGCAAACACATAGTAGCTGCACGGTCCTGACCTTAAGGCTCCAAACCCTGCACCCTTGACTTCAGGAAGGGCATCCCGAACAGCTGCGTGCAGCCTTCGCCAAGACGCCCAGCAAGTGAGCTGGCTGAAGAAAAGGAAAGTAATCCTGAGTCCCTTGATTTTTTTTCAAGAAGTTGAGGGCTCCTGCTTAGTTGCTGCAAGGGTTTGTCATGGGCTCATTCGCGGTAGAGTTCCTGTGGCGGCTGTTCCGAGTGCGGGTGCAGTGTCCAATTTCTTTGGGTGATTGTGGTGTGCAGGTGTGTTGTTGTCAAATTAGCAGCCGGCGTCCCCTTACATTTGCTAGGGTTTTCGAGTTGCCAAGACCAAAACGCAGACGCACAATTTTTGAGAAACCGTCGGCTGAGCCTGTACCCTTTTCATCATGCTAGATAAACACACCTTTTGTTGGTGCATTGTGTGCAGAGGCTTGCTCAATCGCAAGGGACACTGTATTTCTGCTGGCAGCTTTGTTATGCAGCCTGTTCAAGCAAAGCCACATCGTCACAGCATTGTCATGCTTGCTCCCTTGCTTGGTCATCACAATGATGAATGCTCAGGTGGTTGTGATTAGGGTCAATTTTGTCATGCGCGCCATGAGCCATATAACGAGAAAGCCATCGGAACACTTTCAAGCCGCTCTTTCCAGCCGCTCTTTCAGCTTCTGTTGCACCTGTGTCGCCACTGAAGAGATTTGCCCACCTGGCCGCATGTTGCACGAAACAGGGCTTCATGGCGCCAGCAGAAACAATGCTCATGCGCTTCATCTGTCATTTCTCACGACTAATTTAATTAGGAAGATACTGTACATCCTGCTGCTTGAGGGAACTTCACACGATGCACCAATAGTAGCTACTGGCTACCACATAGTGTCGCGCATCCGCCCTCTTAGCAGCTCGTTGGCACCGGCAAGAACTCCTCACTGACTTTGGTCTGTGCAATTTACAGAGATCAAAGACAGCCATCGCGCTTGAGGTTCTGTGCAGCTGGGCCCAAGGAGCCGGGTGCCTGCGATGGCACACGAGTTCTGCTGTTCCAAGGGGCCCGCTACGACCTGTCAGCAGCCGAGGCAGAGGCGCACACGATGAACATAGTTGCAACTCTTGCCTCAATATCTTGAATGACGTGCTTCGATACTCCCAAAGACATGAAAACAATATGTAAGGAGAGCTGCATGC